TTCCGGCGGGATGACGCCGGAAAGCTGGTTGAGGGACACGTCGAAGTAGATTAGGTTGGCGAGCTGGCCGATTGCGGGCGGGATGATGCCGTAGAGCTGGTTTATACTCAGTTCGAAGTACGAGAGGCTGGGGAGCGAGGAAAAGGGGAAATCTTCCAGCGTACCGTTTAGGCCGGAGTTGGTGAGGTTCAATCGGAGCACGCTCCCGGTGGCGGTGCAGGAGACTCCGACGAAGCGGCAGGGGGTGGCGGCGGCGCGGGTGGCGTTGACCGGCCAGGTGGAGATGTTGGATTGGCGGAGGTCGTTGAGGGTGGAAGCCCATCGGAGGAGGGCGGCGGCTTCGGATGCGGAGTCGGAAGCTGCCGGGAGTGGTGAAGTGAGGAGAAGAAGGGAGTAGAGGATAAGAATAGGAAGAAGCTGAAGCGGCAGAGGTTGTTGGGTCCTCCTGTTGGAGGTTGTTTCATCAATTTCTTCAGCCATTTTTTGAGCTTTTGTTTTCTGGGAAACGTTGGTTTTTGGCTTTTGCTATGTTCATCTATTTTCCGGGAATGTGCTTCAAGCCGCGATGGATGGATGATTGCTTGCTGTTCGTGAAAGCAAATGTTGATTGGTCAACAGTCTGCCATTTGACAAATGGGATGCATTCCGATGGCGCGTCTTGGGCTCTTGGCTGAATGCTTTAGTTGACCTCGGAGTTTGTTCATACATGTTTGATCAGAAAGCACCAACGGAAGTTATGTGAAGGAGACTTCCACGATATGAGGTAATTTCAACACGATCGTATTGCCAAAAGATTTATCGATTAGTATTGAAATGATTTTCGTATCATATAGAAGCAGATGTTTATTTTAATGGAAATAAAGTTTTAAGTTCTTGACCATGGAGATTTGATTGGAAAAATTGAGTATGAAAATACATATCATGGGATGGTCTCCATGTGAGAACATCTTGATTTTTTTCCCTAATATAAATATTTTTTATAGAATATAAAATGTTATACGCTAACAAAATCAACTAATATTCCTCTAATTCATAAACTAATATAGAATGAATTAAAAATTAACCTACTACATGTACTTTCTCCAAACCATGACAATACATTACATGCCATGCCTAGTGGTAGGTAGCGAAATCAAAATATGTCAGTCGTCATGCAATTTGAAGTCAATGATCCTTAAAACTTACTTGTACGTGGCAAGTCATTGTCCTCTATTCTAAGTTTATTCTAGATCTATAATGCCTTTAGAGATCGTTACGATGAAGCAATTCAGATATTTTTACAAAACTAGTCATTTATAAACCATGTAGTATTGCTTCTTGTGCTTTTGCTATCTTGTTTGTACATTATATATTTCTAGTTTATTTTTTTTTATAAAGATTCAACTTTTATTTTGAAGGGTTTCTAAATATTGCATACTTGTTAGAAAATATTTAGAAGTATCCATTAAAATTGTCTTCTTCTTTGTTAATGAAAAAAATGAAATAGAAAAGTGAGAAGGAGAGAAAAGGAGACATAAATAAAAAATAGAAATTTAAATGATTTTCATAATCACAAAAATACTCTCAATTTTACCTTTGGATCTATAAAACTTGATCTAACGGTTGGAAGAGACATAGTCACTTGATCAACGACCCTTCTTAATCATGAAATCCCCACCCAAACTTGTTGGATGCAGATCTTATGACCTTTGCACATCACCCTTTTTCCTTGTATTTGTTTCTCTAATTTTGTATGCACTCCGTTTCGGTTGATGCTATGTTTATAGCATCTATCCTTTTTTTTTTCCCTAAAATTTTATCCTGGTTAATTAATAATACTGAATCACCATTATAAAAAAATGAATTGTAGAAAAATATTTTTTGGTGTATTTTAACTGTATTCATAGATTTTTACTAATGGGTATTTATTGAGAATCTATCAGAACATGTACACATTCAACACAAATGAGAGATATAAAGCGAGTCTGGATAAAATCCGAACTTGAATGCCGGAGACACAAGGCATGAATTAACTTATACTATTAGTCAACTCGCGCTTGTATATGTATATGTGTATAATTATATACTCATTTATTATTTAAAATTATAAATTATGTATTTGAGGAATATAGGCATTGCATACAATCACAACGTACCAATCTTTTGTTCTATGTAGGAATTCCATCTAGACAAAAGTTGAGGGTTCAAATTGATAAGTCCCGGTTAGTCCAATGACTAAATTAGATAATTAAAAGGAGAAGAGGGAAAATTAGATTAGATAATTAAATAGAACCGCAAAACTGAAGCCACTAGCCTCTAGGTCTAGGCCATTCTAGCTTACTCTGCAGGCAAGCAACCGACTGACATCTCTTCGCTCAGCACACGCCGCGGCTTTTTGGTCACGAAACGAATCCTCTTTCTTTTAGATCGTCATTCTCCTCCTCCTGCCACCGCTCAATCTCGGAGCTAGCCGGCGATCGGAAATTAGAAGTTCCCATATTGACGACGATTTCTGTTCCGATTCAGATGGAGGGAAGAGGGAGAATGCTGCCGCTGCTGGCTCTTCACGCCGTCGCCGAGTACTACAGACTGCCATGGAAACCTCCCGTCACGGCGGGACTAATCGCCGCCAATACCCTCGTCTACCTGAAGCCCGCTTTCCTTCGCCACCTCCTCCCTTCCATCGAGGAGGTCTGGTTCAATCCCTACCTCATTCTCAAGGTAAACCCTCCTCCTTTGTTTCCCCTCAATTTGCGCATAATTCTTGCTCGCTACCTGTTTGATTGATTGCCCGGGAGATACTTGTTTCAGATAATCCCATGAATTGCTTGTGAGATTAGTTAAGGAAATAACTTGGCTGCTTCCCGTTGAGTCCAAAACCTGAACATTTGGGGTTCTTCATTTTGCCCTGTTAAGTGAACAGAACAAGGATGCGAGGCGCTTCTTCCTATCACCATTCTACCACATCGGCGAGTCCCACTTAGTCTACAACATGATTTCACTCCTATGGAAGGGGATCCAGCTGGAAACCTCAATGGGAAGTCTCGAATTCGCATCCATGGTCGCCGCACTCCTCACCATGTCCCAAGGGATCACGATGCTGCTGGCCAAGACCCTCGTCGTGTTTCTCGACTACCCCAAGCCGTTCTACTCCGAATATGCTGTCGGGTTCTCGGGAGTGCTGTTTGCGATGAAGGTTGTCCTCAATTCTCAGTCTGCAGACTATGCTCACGTGCACGGACTGGTGGTGCCATCTCGATATGCTGCTTGGGCTGAACTGATTCTCATCCAAATGTTTGCCCCTGGCGTCTCGTTCCTTGGCCACCTTGGTGGCATTCTGGCAGGGATGCTCTATCTCAAACTCAAGGGCGAGTACTCGGGCTCGGGCTCGGGCTCGGGCTCGGGCTCAGACCCTTTGGTTAGAATGCTCAGAGGTCTTGTTGGCATAGCGAGCTGGCCACTGAGGGCTGCAAGAGGATTGTTTCAACCCAGGAGGATGCCACGTGTCTCCGGGAGGGGAACAGTCGGCAGGGAAACGAGAGACGGGTTGTCGGGTATATGGAGATGCCATGCTTGTACATTTGATAATTCGGGTTGGTTAAGCGAGTGTGAGATGTGTGGAACAAGGCGTGGAGGCTCAATGGATGAGATTGGGATTCAAGAAATGCGTATGCGGAGGATTCAGAGATTTGGTTGATATCAAGGCTCGGTAATAGGTACGACATACTCCTTGTTCGATACAGATTTTGATGATGTTTCACAGTTGCATAAGGATGTAGGGTCTGCTGGATGTTCAGTGTAATGCTAAGTTGAGCCTTGAACAGCGTATACATCAAACAGATGGCCGATTTACTTATCCTTACAATTGTTTTATCTTTTATGGTTTGTATATTTGAATGCAAGAATAGCAAAAGCTGGATATGACGATATTGGAAATGCAGATATCTTCTGCAGACAAGTAGCCGTAGTTAGTTGATGGTTCAAATTCATCAGTTCAATTACTGTGTCTTCTTTGTGTTTCAGCACTAGAGTATGATGATGGCCTCTGGCCTCCGCGATACCTTAATGCGTTAAAACATCGTTAAGAATTAGTCCAATGAACATTGTACAATAGCATCCAAGTGAATACCGTTCTGATTTCCACTCCTAATTCTAATGCATGTTAGTTTCAGCTGCTGATCTCATTTAGGACTAGTGCCTGTAATGACTAATGAGTCAATCAGCATTGCAATTGGCAATTCATTGCTATTCAGAAGGATGCCTCCAACGGGCTACAATATCACTATATCAGCAAACTATATTTCCATCTCCTTTTTTGTGAAACAACTTATTGACCGCCCTTAAAAGATGAACAACAAGAACAAGAATTAAATAATCAATCAATTAAACAAATCTAACATGATTAAGGAATGAATAAAGTGGATGCAAGATTTTTGGATTATAAGGTTGCATGCACTAAAAATTTGATTTAATGTTTGAGAAAAAGTTTTGAATCGATATAACTTGACAATTAATTATTGTTCATTTTAAATACATACTCTTTTGTAATTAAAGGTTGGATCTTGAGTTGTTGATAATTTAATTGTACATCTCCCCTACACACGATGTATTTTGGGTGTTGACTAGACAAAGCGGTCCGGTCCTAATAATTTCATTGTCATCAAGTTGACCTTTTTGTGACTGGTCCTCTTTCTCTTCTAATGTATTAAAGTTGTGTTGACTAGACAAAGCGGTCCGGTCCTAATAATTTCATTGTCATCAAGTTGACCTTTTTGTGACTGGTCCTCTTTCTCTTCCAATGTATATAATACTTTAATGTTGTTTTTACAAATTATTTCTCTTGCAAAAAATTCTTGGAGTTTATGGTCAAGATTTTTGAATATACCGTCCAGTATATATACAATTGTATTTTCCCAAGCTTTTTAGGCCATAATTTAAGATGAACTTACTTCTTAATGAATTTGCCAACCCGCATAAGGTTTTATGTTTTTTTTTTTTTGGTAGAAGGACGACGCAAGCGTCTAGTTCGTATTAGAAATCAAACGATCATGATGGATACCAATCATGTCGTGGAGAAGCCAATGTTCAAGTTCAGGGTCGTACACATTGAAAGGATGTGTACCAAAATGAACTAAGTGACCCCTATTTGCAAGGAAATCAGCAGCAAAATTTGCTTCTCTATATACATGGGATACAATAACCTCCCAATCAAGATTCAGTAAGAACTCAAACTCCTTGGCTATGATGCCATGGCTGTGATCAGTCTCCGAGTGGTTCTTGATGATGCTTATTGCAGTGGTAGAGTCCAGGTTGAGATGCACTCTTCTGTAGCCTCTTTCCCACGCAATCCGAAGACCTGTCACTGCTCCCTTCAGTTCTGCACTTGTAATGGAGCAAGTTCCAAGATTACACACGAAGGCTTCCTTGCATTTCCCCAGATGATCCCTAAGCAAGCCCCCTGCAGCAGCTTTTCCTGATGGTTGCAGAACAGAGCCATCCGTTTGAATTTGGATCCAGCCTTCAGGCGGACAATTCCAGGCAATCTGTCGTTGTTGGTAGGATCTCTCAGTAATGTTGTTAACATTCTGATTCCACTTCTGTGCTTCCTTGATGATGTTAATCCACGCATTGATTCTGCAGCAAAGCCCCTGCGCCTGGAATTGCTTGCCTTCCATGACCTCCTCGTTGCGTTGTTTCCAAAGGTTCCAGCAAATAACCCCAAAGTTCACACCATTCTCTTCATTGCAGAGGTTGTCCAGAAGCCAATCCTGGAAGGGCAAGTTCATATTTCTGGCTGTCAGCATGTTTCTGAACTTCTCCCAAATAACCTTGGCTCTCTCGCAGCTTCTCAAAATATGTTCAGTTGTTTCTTCCTTGTCCCTGCAAATGTTGCAATTTGCATTGGTTGTGATGCCTCTTCTTGCACGCTCCTTGTTAGTGAAGATCCTGTCATGTAGAATCAGCCAGAGGAAATGCTTGATTCTGCTTGGTCCCCTCCATTTCCAGAGATTTTTCCACTTCTGCATTTCTTGTTCCTCCTCCAGGTTCGCAGCAAGCATGTAGGCAGACTTCAGTCGGAATCTACCATCACGTTCCAGCCCCCATGACATCTTGTCCTCTCCAAGCTCAGGCTTTGGCGGTGCTGCTCCTGCAATCAAAGACAGCAACTCATCAGGGAGGAGTGGCTGGCTGCAGGCGTTCCCAGTTCCACTCACCTGTTTGGGTAACACAATTGGAGACTGGTGACTCTCTTTCCTCAGTTGTAATGTCCCTAGAGAGATGATCTTCGAGGATTACTCCACAATCCAGCCATGGATGCTTCCAGAAGCAGGTTGTCTCCCCATCACGAATGCTCCAGCAGGATGCTTCTTTCATAAGGGGCATAGCCTGCACAATAGCTTTCCACAAACTAGAATGGTTGGATTTTTTCATTGAAATGATTTCCCCATTCCTCTGTTGTTGAAAATGTGCCAAGCAAGTTTAATCATGTAAGCTTTATTCAAGCAACGAGCAGATCTAAGTCCCAACCCCCCCATCTTCTTAGGTTTACAGATTTGCTCCCAAGAAACCAGGTGAGCTTTTCTTTTCCCTTCCTGGGATCCCCAAACAAATCCACGGATTTTTTATCAATGATGTCACACACAGTAAGGGGAATAGGAGTAGTTTGCATAGCATATGTAGGGATGGCATTCAAAACTGAAGTAGCAAGAGTTACCCTTCCAGCAAGTGAGAGGGTTCTGGCTTTCCATGAAGCAAGACTTCTGTCAATTCTATCAAGGATATACTTATAGGTATTCCTAGTGATCCTCCCATGAATAACAGGAACACCAAGATACTTACCCAAATCATTCGTTTCCTGGATGCCAAGTTTCAAGCAAATGTTCTGCCTAGTGTTGGTTTTGACATTCTTAGAAAAGAAAACACGAGATTTTTCTTTACTAACTAGTTCACCAGAAGCTAAGCAGAAAGAACCAAGGCAATCCAGAACAATATTCGCTTGTTCAGTGCAGGCATGGGAAAAGAGTACTAAGTCATCAGCAAAGAAGAGATGAGTTAGTGCATGGCCATTAGGAGATAAACAAACAGGTTTCCAGTTTCCATCCTTATGCTCTTTCAGAATGCAGTGACTCAAGCGTTCAACACATAAAGTAAAGAGGTAAGGTGAAAGGGGGCATCCCTGTCTGAGACCTCGAGAAGGCTTGAAGCTCTCAGTTTCTCCACCATTCCACAGCACTTGAAAGGAGGTTGTGGTGACACAGGCCATGATGAGGTTGAAAAAATCCTGTGGGAGATGAGCAGCCAACAGGGTTTCTTCCAAGAAGCTCCAATCAATCCTATTATATGCTTTTGCAAGATCAACTTTCAGCAGCATGTAGCCTTTCTTCCCAGTTTTCCTAAGCATTGAATGCACTGTTTCCTGCAAGATAATGATGTTATCAGTTATATGCCTCTTAGGGACAAAACTGGACTGGTTCTGGTGCACCAGATGGGGCATGAGCTTCTTGAGGTTGTCAGCCAAGCTCTTTGCCACCACCTTGTATCCAACATTACACAGGCTGATTGGCCTAAATTGGTTCATCGAAGAGGGGGCATCCACTTTGGGGATCAGGGCAAGCAGAGTCTCATTCATAAATTGGATTCTACTAGGGTCCCTGAAACAAGTGGCAACAAAGTTAGCAAAGTCCAGTCCAATAGTACTCCAGCATTTTTGGTAAAAGAGGGCATGAAACCCATCTTTTCCTGGAGCTTTGAGACCATTCATAGACATGATGATTGCTTTGATCACATCAGGTGAGGGGGGTTTCCCAAGTTGCCTCACAACAGCATCATCAATGTCTGGGAATGCAGCAGCAATTGTAGGTCCTTTATCCCCATTATCCTTTGTGAAAAGTGACACAAAATGATTTCTGGCCATCGACTGAAGCACCACAGGGTTTGTTTCCCAGTTCCCTTGCTCATCTTTGAGGGCCATGATTTTGTTCCTCTTCCTCCTGCTCAGCGTGCAGTTGTGGAAGTATCTAGTATTAAGGTCCCCTTTGGTAGTCCATTGTGCTCTTGACTTCTGGATCCAGAGCATCTCCTCCTGCTAGAGAACACACTCCAATTCTTCTCTAGTTTTCTGCTCATTAGCACATGAACTGTTGGAGGGATTCCTTTGATTGAGCAGTTCAAGGGACTTGAGAGAATGGAGCAATTCCTTTTTCCTTTTGAAAATGTTCCCATAGACCTCCTTGTTCCAGACAGTGAGCTTCCCAGCAAGGATCTGCAGAGAGGGAAGAAAGTCACAGCCAACAGTCCAAGAGTTGGAGACAAAGGGAAAGAATTCTTTATGATCTAACCAAGAAGCCAAAAAATGGAACCTTCTCACCAGATTATTCCTTCCCATATTTGGGGAAGAGTCAGTCAGGATTGGTCTGTGATCAGACTTGACCCTTGGCAGGTGTGTCACAGTGGTCGGGGGAACTGCTGCTGCCATTCAATGTTGCATAGGCTTCTGTCAAGCCTCTCCTTAAGTCTAGAATTGCTGGTGAACCAAGTGAAGTTGGGACCAATATATCCCAGGTCAATGAACCCACATTCATCAATACAATCATTGAAAGCACTGGCTTTAGCAGAGTTAAAAGGAGCGCCTCCTTGTTTTTCTGAGGGTCTGGTGATCGAGTTGAAGTCTCCAGTAATCAGCCAAGGTAGGGAGGTGCTTCTTTCAATTCTTTTCAGCTCATTTCAGAGGCTTCCTCTGTCGTGCTCATTAGGGCTAGCGTAGACAACAGTCAGGAAGTACTCCTCTCTTCCTCTAATGACACATTTGAGGTGGAGGAGTTGTCTGTGGTTGTCAACTAGCTCCAGGTTCAGTTTACTGCTATCCCAAAGGACCCAGATACCTCCACTGAAACCAATCGCCTCAGACACTTTCCAAGAGTCAAAACCAGTGGACATGATAACCTTAACAGCATCCTTCCCACTGATTCTTGGTTCCAGGATACAAACAACATCAGGGCAAAAAGTGGCCTTATACAACTTAAGAGTGGCAAGAAACTTAGGGTGTTTTGCACCCCCTGCAATTCCAGGAAAGAACTTTAACCATGAAAAAGGTTTCAGAAAAGCTTCCCTGTGTCGACCCTTTGGTCGGAATCAGCACTTGTCGACGGCCATCGCCGTCTCATCTCCCAATGGGCTGCTACTACAGGCAGTTTCCATTTGAGAAATTGCACTTTCTGGCACTGTTTTGACACCATCTTTGCTAAGGTCGAAGTTAATCTTCCTTGGGTTGCCCAACAGGTTGTTTTGCTTCTTGAAATCGTTGCTAAGGTCTTCACTCTCCTTCCTCTCATTAGGAATTTGCCTCATCTTTGGCTTGTGGCCTGATTTGGCTTCAACAGAAGAGACTTTGATATTGCTCTTCATGAATGAGGTAGGTGTTGTTTTCTCCCCAGAACTCTTGTTATAACTAGCAGTTCCAATTGAGGACAATCCATCCTTAGCCTTGACCTCCAAACTGCTTCTGGAATCCTTACCAATCTTCAGAGAATTAGTCAGGCTTTCAGTTTGCTTGCGCGGTTCCGGGGTTGGTTTTTGATGGTCCTTTCTTGTGAGCTGCTTCAAGTTGGTTTTTGCATCATTGCTGTCTTTCCCTTCTTTTTTTCCTTTTTGGCCGCTTTTCTTCTTCTCCATCTTTTTTCCTTCTTGAACTTTCTCCCCATGATCTTCATTTGTATTTTCCTGTTGATGCTCTGCTCCTCCAATATGTTCCTTCTGCTGCTCAACTGTTATTTCTGCTTCTTCTTCCCCTTCATTGACATCCATTTCATCAGTCTCCAGTGCACTGAATCGTGATCCTGAAGCTTTGGTTTCCGCGGATGAGGGTGTATCCTTTCCTTTCTCTTCGGCTTTTTTCTGCTTTAGCTGATTGCTTCTTCTCTTTGGTCTTGTTGCAAGCATCCATGGTCCATAGTCTTCAAGAATTTCCGGCCTGATATCCTGGCTTGCCTGTGAGGAGCTCGGTTCCTTGCTTTGATCAGTGCTAGTGATATTCGCACTTGCAAGTCTTTGCGGGCAGATGTCTGAGGAGTGGCCATAGAGCCCGCAATCGTAACAAACAGTGTGCAACCCTTCATACTCGACACGCCTTACTCTCCTCTTGATTCTATATTTTGAAATTAGCTTCTTCGTTAGGTCAATCTCCACACAGATGCGAGCATAATTGCCCCTAAACCCATTGGCCCCTTCAACCGAACAAATTATATGAAACAGGGGAAGTTAGTTAGTTAGTTAGGTTTAGGGGGCTTCGCGGGTTGATTTATTAATTATTTAACTTCGATATAAAACCCACAACCACAAAATGGAACCCTTGAATAAATCCTAGAAACAAGGCAGCCTCTTTCTCCGCCGCGCAAGCTCAATTCCTCTGGCTTTGACGGTTGCATTCTGTAGCAGAAAAACAGTCATGTCGAAGAAGGAGGCGGCGGTGGAAGAGGATGACGTGGAATCGTTTTTAGCGAGTTTGGATAGTGAATGCGAATACTGCCCTCCCCAGCTGGTGCAGAAGCTGTTAGAGTCGAGAGCAATCGGTTGCATCACCGCACTTCTGGATCGCAAAGTCGCTCACAATCAGCTGGATCTCCGCCGTCGGCTAGCAAACGGCCAACGGCCGATGTGCTATGCTGCTAAGCTAGGGTTTCATCAGGGGTTGCAGCTTTTTCTTCGCCATCGGATTCATCCCAGGGATAATTTCTTGCCGGACGGTTCGGATTCCTATTCAAATATTCCTAAGGATGAATATGGGGGTGAAGTCATCGACTTGGCATTCGAGGCAAGTTGCGAGGAAAGGAAGAAGAAGCTGGGTGAAGAAATTACGCTCTCTCAGTTGATCCTCTGGCTGCCGGAATGGATCTCCGAGCCCGGCAATTTTGCCTGGTGGCACACCGTGAAGCTGCTGGGAGGCATCAGTTCCATTAACATCGAGTCGAAAGCCTTGGAGTATGCAGTCAATGGTCAGGCGACACAGCTGCTCTGGCTTCTGCTTGTAGTCCCTGATCGAGTTCTCTCCCCGACATTCTTTCGCGCCATACCAATGTTTAAGGATCGTCTGGAGCTTTTCTCCCTCCGCGATTTCCTTACCGCTCAGCTAACAGTCGTGACCGCTGACAGCCTCAGCATTCGACACCACGATCCCAGCCAAATGAGCAACAAGTCGTCGTCTTTGGAGTTGAAGAGGTCGATTCTTGCCACTTCCCTGCGATTACTTGAAGTCTTTCACAGGGCTGGCCCCCAGTTGTCTTTCTTAGTGGCAACCTTAGAAAAGGAGCATCTTTCGAATACCCCAATTGCTCAACAGGTCAAGACTGTGTTAGAGGGAGCTGGGTTCCCCTTGACTTCTCTGGATTGGTACTTCTATCAACTTACCCCGAACCAGCTTCCACTTGGTTGTTTTATAAAGTTTCAATCTTTATAACATAATAATCTGTGTGTCTGTGTTTTTGTTGCCTTGACAGCCCTATTATATCACGTCCCTATCATTCAGAGATTAAAGACTATGGCAGGTAACTATCCCAGCCTTATAACTGTAGTAACCAAGAAGTTTCTATTCCCAACACCACCAGTCACAGCAGCCTTGCATTCCGTTATACGCTTCCTGTTAATCCCTTGCATTGTCTTGTCTGTCTTGCTATCTCCCTCGCATTCAGTTGGGATTGTAGTTGTAGGTTTCTGTCTATGTTAGATGTGAAAAGAACGAATCCTATGTTCAAGGTGTCTTTTCTTACTGTTTATGCATTTGACCTGTTCCAAAGTTAATCGCTGATTGGTATTACCGTGTAGTGCAAGCCATAAAGAAGCATATCTCGAATTGGTCTTCTTGATTCGACCGGTGCATGTTTGCAGAAGTGAAGTTCTTGGTTCACGATTCAGTAGGGCTATTGGGAAGTTGTGGTAATTCTATTCACTACTTGGTTTTGTTATGCCATTCTCACTTCTCAGTACAGGCAAAACTTACACGTTCCGTTCTGGATTTAGTGCTTGAATACCATGCACAAATGTGTCTATGATTCACTGTTGTTTCTTGGCCTTCTGCAGCCATCATCCTTATCTGAAGGAATGGAGCCCCCAAAATTCTGTTTTCAAGTTGCTTTTCATATTTTGCCTCCCTGACTTGGTTTGAATTTTCCTCTTGAACTCGTGTCTCTCAATCCTTTTGTTCCACAATAGTTTTATGGGAAACATTTTTTTGCTTTCTCATCTGTGATGTGCTATTCGTAACACCTACAGGTAGAAAAGATGCAATGCATGCTGCAGTTACAGCTTAAGCATCGTAACCCTGCAAAGGTCATCTGTCCCACCTATCTTGCCGAATTATGTTTCATCTATATGACAGAGGGGCGCATTGTTGAGTTCACAGCTGCTCTAATGGCCGTACAAATTCTTCTTCGGCTGGACCATCCACTAATTCCTCAAATGTCTTTCCATATAGTGGGCAATAAAAAGTCTCCCCCAACTGTTTATGAATATTTACTGCATCAATTGAAGAAAGTGCTTGACGAAGAAATCTCCTTAACCGGAAAAAGCGAGGACAGTGTTACTGTTCAGCTTGTCAAGGAGAAACAATCGGTGATTTCTTCTGCATTATTATTAACAAAGATATTCGAAAGGTCTGCACAACATATAAATTGGTATCTTCACTCAGCAAGATATGAGGTTTGTATCTTGTCCTTTCCATTTCTGTTTAATTAAGTGTTATAGCTTGTTGCCAAAGGTGCAACCTTCTTGTTTTTTTTTTTGCTGCTTATAACTTCTAACAGGTAATACAAGAACGTGGGGATTTGAAGCTGATTGTAGATGATGTTGCTTCCTTTCTTGAAGACTCGGGCTTTTTGTTAACATCTCAAGACATTTGTGTGAATCACATGGAGTGGTAAGCGTCGGTTGTTCTTTGGCGTCTTCCCCCCTCTCGACTGACGATTTAACATGTTTGGCAACTCTTGTTTCTATGATTCTCCATCAACCTGTCGTAGTTTCCTTTTGTCCTTCCAACTAAGTGTTGCAGTTTCCTCAATGTCTTCTCTAATTCTGTGTTTGGGTGTCTTGTGTTAGTTTCTCAAGCAAATCAAGTGTTAGCAAAACTGAGTTAAAAGGAGATTCATGGCTGTTTGGGCCACATATGCAGAGAGCTTCATGTGTAAAGGTCTCTTGAAATCTTTGTACAATCTTGATTTAATATTAAGTTCCCTTCCCTGCTTCATTCATCAGAAAACTGTGAACATCCTTGCTTCTTCAAACATCTCTACTACCTTCATTCAATATGAACATTGTTGCTTGGTTGTTCCATCATATGTAATTGTGCAGGAGAAGAAAGCAACTGGAGTGTCGAAGGCAATAATGTCAGCCGAAAACATTAAATCTTCTTTGCTTGTTGGTTCATCCATTAACAAGCTTTCAGCACGCTCTTATCACTCATTCCCAATGCTTAGGTATGGAGCATCTAAGGGCGTCTTGGTGCCTACACAAGATGGGGTCAATTTGTTAACGAAAGGGGTCGAGTCTGCAAGATGGTCAGATTCTATACTGAGAAAGAGCTCGAGGTGTTTGACAATGACTAGGAGAATAATTTTGCGTCTGTAACTCTACCCGGGGCTTTGCTCGTGTTGTAGTAGTAGTCATTGTTACACAATAGACTTTGAGAGTAGAGCAGGTTGAACTATTGTTCCTAGAACATCAGAAAACTGTGCCAAGACTTATTTTCTTCTTCTTCATCATCATTTCTGCATTCAATATCAAGTCTCATGTAAAAGTGAACGGCCTATGTTCCTTCTCTTCTTTTGTACCCTGTGTATCTTCTCTGATATAATCGAGAAATCCTTTTCTTGTTACTGTTTTCAAGGCAAATGGCAGAAAATGGAAGGAGTCCCCTTTGTTACTTGAATATGGATACTTGCAATTTGGTCAGAAAACTGATCGGTACTGTTTTAGTATAATGGTAACCAATACCCCCCTGCAGTAGAAGAATCACTACCCAAACCCACTCCAAGATAATCATGCAAATAAGGCTTATCATAAAGGGCTACTCACCAATCTGTTTCCAGTATCCGCACAACGGTTTTGACAGTTGTGTTGGATTGCAACTTTACAAAGGTGTAGTAATAATTCATTGACTTGTCTTTATTGGAGCTTCCTGCATTGGGATACAACCTGCAAACTGAAGATTCTTGAATCAATGTAGCTTGTTGGTACATGGCAGAGGGTAGTGGAGTGCAACTGTGCAAGGTCTGATTCTGTGAAAGAAATCAATAAGGGCGGTTATAGGACATGCTAGATAATTGAACAAGGCATCATATGATATCACATGGGATTCATAAAATGTACCATATTACACTCGTCAACCTTAAAGTTGACATGTCAACTCCTCACTGATTCTCTTCCTTATGCTTGCTCCATCTTCTTGATGCACTCTGAGTATGTCCCATGAAGAAATCAAATTTCCAGCAAATGACAAATCGTTTAATCAGTCACCGATTTCCGACTTTGATGGGGTCTCTTATGCCTGGTGCAAACACTAAACGATTGAAGGAGCATCTATTTTGGTAGATGGTGTACTGTCACAACCTTAGAAGGGGTATAAATCATCATCGTGTAGAATCTATAATATGGAACTACATGAACACAAGTCATACCGTGAGTATGAACCACAATCATTACATGTTCCTTCTCTGACAATCAAGATCAAAGAGGCCTCATGGTTGGTAAATAAGGCAACGAGTAAAACACTAGGACATGCAATGAACATGGAACCATGATCATAATAGCAACAATAATTCATAAGACAGTGCAGAGCGAAAAGACGTAATCATTACAGCAAAGTTTGTAAGCGGGGACATGATACCACCAGTACCTCTAAAAGCTCCCCAGTGTCAAGTAATGGCTTATCTTGGTTGTGGCAGGAAGCTGGAAGGACGTAGGAAATTGAGCTGATCAAATACCAAAATATGGGAAATAAGATCCAAGTCTAATCAGTTCGGACTTGTTATTGAAGGAGGACCATGCAAACTTAATTGGAAAACTATCCTTCACACAACCAATACTATTATAGAATCGACATCTTGCATGCAAATCCTGGCATCCATTTCCCTCTCCTCATCTTGCAAGTTCGCAGAGCAATATTTGGAATTTCGTTTGACCAATAAAGTTGTTGCTAACCTTCTATTATGCTTTCTCAACTGACATAACTCGTCTTCCATCAAGGGAATGGCATCAGAGAAGGAGATTTCAAAATTTGCTATAATAAAGAAAATTGCTGACCAAGGGAGGTTAACGAGGCAATTAAAAAGATACAGAAGCACTGAGTACTCACTCAACCCCTTGAGAACTTTCGTCAATACTTAGAGCACGGATTCCCTAATTCTAGATGCCAAAAGCTCTTAATAACACAGTTCATTGGGAAGAAAACAACGCCAAGGTAGTCTACGTCATGGGGATGATGGTGAATCAAAAGCTTTTGCAGAAGAGAGACAAGAACTCTTTTCACATTTGTATCCACCTCTCCCCAACTGACCAAGTTCACAATATCAGAAGGTAGCTACATCTGCAAGATCAAATGATAAAACCAAGACTGTTGGGTAGTTTAAATACCTTCACCAATAGAGTACACGATTCCTGAACTTAAGATGGAATTCTCATATCAGAGGAAAATCAACTCCCATCCCGGACTCTATATAGAATCAGTTTACAGGCTTCTATGTCATTTCAAATTGCTGGACTGACCGTTTGCAGACCAATGCCATGTATAGCAAGCTACTCAGCGACCAGATAATGAGTCACTGGAGTACAGTATCATCTTCTACCATCACAATTCACATATATACCACTATGAAGCAGCTAACCCACCACGAATAAATCACAACTTGGGTTTCAGCTTTCCTGCTTGCCCTCCTCAAATCACATATCATCATGGCAAACTTTGTAACTACTTGGTTTCTGGAATAGGAAAAATCAAACAAGAATTATACCCATTATGGCAAACTTTGATCCCGAAACTCGAATTCTTCTTGCTCATCTGCCTCCAATACAAACAAACTTCGTAATTGGAGTGGAACCTCGATGTTGCATTGAATTTTCCAACAATCACCACACGATCAGTTATTGAGTGCAAATCACATAACTATCTTCCTCATCATATAACACCCGCAAGGGCACTTTATTCAACAACTAACATAGCAAAACAACAAACTTGCTCACCTGGTCTGCCCTTCTGTTAAGCAATAACATGGGGATAACATTTCCTCTGCGCTTATATGCTCCTTACATGCCTATACAAGCACTCACTTTACACCCACCAATACGTAATATGAGAAATTGCAATCTCCTGATTAATACCACATGCGTTTGGTCAGTAGAAGGAAAAATAACCTGGGGCACAAAACTTTTGCTGTATGCTGCAATCACAAGTTTCCTTGCAACACACTTCAACTACTACACTTTCTGTTCTGACATAAGCGATGAGATGCAGACAATAAAAGTGGCCACCACTACAAAATAAATGCTCACTACATGCAAGAATTGAAGCCCCCTAATATTTCCATAGACCACGCATCAAGGATGATCCGGAATGAAAATTATATTATGAAACAAAGTGTACTTACTGCATTCTGAAAGGGGAGTAAAAACTACGACAACCTTACAAGACACCCTGCCTAGTATTAAGGGTGTCTTCACCGTAATCTTTAATGGATGTTTATATTGATCACAAAACAAATGAAACTGTGTCATACTTTATTCAATACAGTAACCAATTGTGTAACCCCATTGAAAAGCAGAAATATTTCCACAAGGCACTTCAAAGTTCTGTCTCAGAGAACTACACATTTTCTTGAGCATTGCAAGAGTCCTAGAACAGATTTCGCTCCACAATCAGAGTCAACTATTATGCAAGTTGAAGAGACTATTCAATAAAATTAACATGTTTATTAAAACCAAGGATGTTGTAGATCAGGACTCAAGTAGAGAACAAAAGATAATATGGTACATGGAATTGAATAAACAATAGATCATTGTTTGCTATAGGGTTCTTAAGTTCTCTTCCAGGATCTCAAGTCCTAAACTACAACACAATGAACTCCCATCGGAATGAATGAGTCTTGCTAAAATAACCTGACACCATATAAACAATTCCCAGGTTGCCTTCTAGGAGCTGCCATGCCATCTAAGAACACTAAGTCTACATCTTGCTTCTGGAAAAAAAAAATGCTTTAATGGATAAAGCACGTCTTGGGTTTATGTACCTTACTGCATAAAACTGCATCGAGCACTTCCGGTTCACAAAATACTGTGGAAATTGGTGAACTGGTCATGGAGGGGAGCATTGTTGTCATATTGACATCTTGCTTCCGGAACCAACAAGGACCAACACAGTTTCAAGCTCTGTTGTCATATTGACATCTTGCTTCCGGAACCAGCATAAGCATATATCTCAAAGAACCAATTACAATGACAGACAAGGCAGAAGAGCAACTCCGACTAGCAGAGTTCTCTTCTATGACCTCATTTCCATGCACCTTAGAGAACCATGGACAAACCGACATTTGAGGCAGAAGAGCAGTTGCGACGAGTCACAACTCTCTTCTGGGACCCCGCTTTATCATGTTAAATCTTCTTGACATTAAGATGGAGCAAGAGCAAACTTGTGTAAAAAGAGGCTCAACTATACAGACTGAATATTTTTTATAAATCGATTGTAGGAACTAGGAAGAATCACCTCACTGTTTCTCAATCTAGACACTATACGGACCGGCAAGAGCAAACGTGTGTACAAAGGGACTCAACAGGCAACAAGGTATTTCATAGATCATACATTCAACGTAAGTACGTAACTGGACTGTCCCAAAATCATATAAACCAGCAAGATTGCAGCCGTTCCGAGAGGACAGAAAACCCCTCAAAGTCCCATCTTAATCCCTCCTAATTATTATCCAACGCAGAAAATGAAAAGGGTAGGTCGGCGGAAACATACCTCATCCGGGAACCAACAACGAATTCGATCGGAAGTGTGGGCGAGTAGGCTCGAAGCCAAACATCACCCGTCGTCAGTCACTAGAGATATGAAGTATACACAACTATACCACCATGGCGTCCTTTGTAACTGCTTGGTTTTGGGAATAGGAAAAATCAAACCAGAATCAGACCCAAAGAAGCAATAGGACAGAATGCCATGATGCAGTGTTCTCAAGTTATTTTGACAAGAAATAAGAGTTCTCTAACTTAATTTTAACATAATTTCAAAAGGCCAGTGAGCAAGCAACTCTCCAGTGGCGGACTGAAGGGAGCACTTGAATCGAAACTCAAATTCTTAATTTACCTCCAATAAAAGCCAAATCCGTATTTGGTGCAGAATTTCGATGTTACATTGGATTTTCCAACAACCAACACATGATCGATAAGTCACCGAGTGCAAATCACTAAACAGTTAACAATCTTCCTCATCAAATAAACCCTCAAAAGCATTTTATTCAAGTACCACCAAAGCAAAACAACACGGGGATAGCATTTCCGCTGCACTTATATATATGCTCCTTATATTCTTGTAAGTGCACTCACATTGCGCCCACCTTTAGGTAAGAGTTTTAGCAAACTGCAATGAAGTGGAAAAATTGAATGCCAGCTGCTGATTAATACCACGCCCATCTGATCAGTAGAAGGAAAAATAACCTAGGGCCGAAAAACTTTTGTTGCATGCATCAATCACAATTTTCCTTGCAAGACTTCAATTACTGCACTTTCGGTTCTGCATAAGCGATGAGATAAAAGCAATAGAAGTGCCACCGAGACCAGAATAAATGCTCATTACATGCAAGAACTAAGCTCCCTCCAAGAAGATTTTCATAAACCAAGCATCAATGATAACCCAACATGC